AATAATTTTAAAAGAACACTATTCACCCCCCCTCTAGTGTTCAAGTGTATCTATTTCAGATCCTACATACTTTGGATATGATTTTCCCAACCTTCAATCGGTGTAATGGGACCTTGGAATGGCTTCTATTCTTGATTCTTTTAATCCTCCAGGCTATTCGGTGCTTTGTCGAATGTCTGTAAGGATTCCAGTGCTGCATTTATTGTTTGACCGTTGTTGGAATTTTTAACTTGAAGTCAATTCCTGATTTTCTGATCTTTAGCTCATGATTGCTATTTTAACATAGAACCGACCATCGATTGTTGGCGTTGAGTCTTCATTTGTAACGCGTTGTCCGGCGTTTGACACAGTTTATACTCGTACGTCTGCTGGAGTCTTGAGAAGTAGTTTATACTCTTATACTTTTCGGAGGGTTGTTGAGTTATCCTTAAGAATATTTTTTAGAAAAATACTCTCCAGAAACTTCTCAACAAAAATAGGGAATAATTTATACTTATATACCTTATTGGAGTACTAAGAAGCAGTTTATACTCGTATACTTTTCGGAGTACTTTTCATGTCCGAATGAGATACTTTTCGGAGTAAGAAGCAGTTTATACTCGTATACTTTTCGGAGTATTTTTCAGGTCCAAACGAGCTGAATCAGCCTAATAATGACCCAAAAAGGTAGTAATTAGGCGACTGAACCATCGGTCGATTTGAAGTCGTTTCGATACTCGGTTCAGCTCCAATTTGAATTTTGGTTCAAATCTGGTTCAAACTGGTTCAACTTGGTTCAAGACTGGTTCAACCTGGTTTAAGACTGGTTCAGGACTGGTTCAACCTGGTTCAAGACTGGTTCAGGACTGGTTTAGCCTGCTTCAGACTAATTCATCCTGGTTTGGCCTGGTTCAGCCTCCTTTGAACTGATTTAGCCTGGTCTGGTCTGGTTCAACTTGATCTGATCCGGTTCAGTCTGGTTCAACACTATAAAAGACCTTCTTTTCCTCCGTGAATACTATGATTGGCAGACCATAATACTCATAGGATTTTTGGCAAACCCTCAACCCTCAACGGGTTTGATAAGCCTTTACCGACTACCGTTTGAGTCGGGCTAGCATGCGGATTGTCTAAATCCGTTCCGCATGTAACGTTGTGCTAAGAGAGTGAATTCTCTGAGACTTTGTGCTATGATGTCGAATACATAGGTTTTACCATTTGTTATGGGAATAGGCTACCCGGCAACACGTGTTAGGCATTGACTTTAGGATTTCTGGCTAACCCCCAACCTTCAACGGATTTAATTAGCCTTTACCGACTACCGTTTGAGTCGGGCTAGCATGCGGATTGTCTAAATCCATTCCGCATGTAACGTTGTGCTAAGAGAGTGAATTCTCTGAGACTCGCCGCTACGACTTCGAATACATAGACTTCGTCATTGTTAAGGGAATAGGCTACCCGGCAATGTGTATTAGACGCTGACTTATCCCTACTTAGGCTTCGGGATAAAAGTC